TGTACATATATGTGCAGTTGTGTTTGTACTGCACCAACACTAGAGACTCAAAACATTTTGGTTGTAAAACACTCATACAAACACTTGATCAATCGTTCGCGAAAAAACTGGCTCCAGTTATTAATAAACAAAAGCCAGACAACCAGTGTTTAGCTCTCCAGTTTCAAGTATACACCGAACAGGCTACAGTAAAAACATAAGCCTACAGTGTTGCCTGCGTTAATTACATTCATGAAATGCGAAATATAGCAGTTAATATGGACCCTGCTTTTCTATAAATTTTGTCCTTTTGGTAAAAGGTGTTGTTGGTAACAGGTTGCGATCGTGCTGTCACCAATAGGGTCTGTTTTGGAAACAGAATGACTTTCTGAAACAGCACGTTACCCTGTTGATCTCCTTGGGGTAACATACTGATCTTAACATGGTATCGAATCGCATGGATTGGCACCAGACTGGCGTTCACATGACACCTTATTTCACTCATCAACTTGGTCGTTTTTAGCAAGGGCACGTCTCGTGAGACAGGGGTCAGGAATCATAGAGAGAGGGTGGTTTCAAGATGAGTTGGACTAAATTTTGCAATTAGAAACTAAAATATCTGGTTCATAATCTATTTAGAGGAAACGTGTGTACCATCAATTTTCATATGCACATAAGTGTGTGCTGGCAATTCTAGTTCCTAATTGCAAAATAAAGTCCAGTTTATCTGATATTACTGGAGTCTTACGGACAAAAAATACCGTACGCTCAGCACATCATGGTGGATGGAATAGTCATTTAAGGCACTTTCTTTGCATGCAATTTTCGCATGGATACTTCTCTTTCACTCATCCCGGTCACCGTCCTACTGACACTTCACGCATCGGTGCAATTAACTCCACTTATGCGAATAACCTATCAAGTGACCTATAAGAGTAACATCTTTGTAAGTAGATACCTACATAGAGTAAACAGGAAACGGCAGTTTTACAGACCACGGTGCAGTGTATACCGGCAGCAGTTCGCATCATTTATTTATTTATATTTTTCTTCCACATATTTGTCTTTTTTGCAGCATTTAAAGTATGGTCAGACGTCTTAATACCAGCACTGTTCCTAATTGAGCAGGAAAATTGTGAATGGAAAAATTCTCCGGGCAAATTAATCCGAATGGGTCTGTTGCAAGCAAGAGATACCTACAGCCAATTTACATCGCTTCCAGGACTTTATGTCCAACTACCTTTCGTCCATTAAATAAATGTCCACCGCTATTTATGTCCACTAAACGTTAAGTCCACATGATTTAATGTCCAACCATGAATATGTCCAAAATTGTCCAAATTGTGAACATGTTATGTCCACATTTTTTTCTCCTCATTTAAATGACAGGAACCACCTCAAAAATAAATGCATACTACTACTACCTTCATTCTTAAAAACATTTCATCCATGAATCAAGTCATGAAAAAGAACAGACTCTAAGAGCAAATATAAACATATGTTCATGTGTACACTGTACGGATATGATAAGATGAAAACCAAAGCGGGAGCCTAGGAAACGCTCCAATGCCTAAACATTTTTCAGTAACAGATGCAGTCAAAATTGAAAGTCCTCTTTAACTAATTATTTCGTGCGCCTTCAATTTGGTAGGACACTGTGCAACGCCTCTGACGCGAAATAGTTGCTTAAAGCGTTGCGGCGCGGCAGGAAACCAGCGTGACACGCGCAAAGGCGCCTACAAACCTAACGGGATACTTCACGCGTTGCGCAATGCGTGAAGTATCCCGTTAGGTTTGTAGGCGCCAGTGCGCGTTCTGCGCTGCTAACACGCCGCTCCGCTCTGTGTTAGGCTCTAATATTTAAACTCGCGGAGTCAGCGTTTTTCAACTCATGATTTTGAAATGTTTGCACGCTCTGCATTGATTATTCCCTTTTTAACGGATGAAAAAGAAATATGTACTACTGGGAAATATAATGTGTTTTTTGTAAATATAATAGTGGTTTCGTATCAAATTTAATGATTTCCAAAGCATTCAAATTTATTCTTTTATGTTTTGGGCTTTTACTGTGCTGCAGCGTGGTGTAAGCGCAACCAAACGCTCAAAATTGGACGTATTTGACTCAAGGAGGTCGATGTACAAATAAGTTAAAAACCAAAAATTGCGTGCTCCTTAGTTTTTTCCCTCTTTTATTAATGTTTGTATAGTTTCTTTCATCACCACAACGGCTCATTGAGAGTCATATCGATGTCATTGCTTAGAAAAGGTTTTGCAAATATTTACCACGTTTTAAAAATGTAAATGTTTTTAAAATGAAATAATCAATTTCATTAAAAAAAAGAATGTACATTTAAGGCATATTTTATATCGGAAATTTCAAGGATAGAAATGAAACCAAGTATTTACCAAAGACAATTTGAAAAGATGAATCAAAAGAAGAAATTAACATTTCATTTAAAATATGAGTCACGATAACAACACCTCATTCTCTCCTGATTTTCTCATTTCAATATTGACAGTATTATTTTACACACGGACTAAAATATGATGCTTGAATTTGATTTCAATGGACTTCACATTTGTGGACTTAACTTAGTGGACGTTTAAGTAATGGACTTAACAATAGTGTGGGCTTTAGAACTGTGGACGAAAAGTCTGTGGACGTAAAAAAAGTGGACATAAAGTCCGTGTACCTTTACATCAGCATCATGCTCTTCCCAAATCGAATCGGGCACTTTAATATTTTACATGAAATCGGTTGTGCGGATTTTTGTGCAAATTTCAGTGAATTTTCTGCATAATACGAAGCAAACTCCTCAACTTTTTCAGAGGAATCCGCACAAACGTCCTCTTAAAAATTAATTTCCCAGTTAAATTCTGCAAAGGCTGATGTGACTTGGTTCGTTTCTGCTAAACGCGGTCCAAATGTAGTTACGATCTTTCGTCCGGGAAACGCCGCCTTGTGTGTGCAACAGCCCCATTACGCGAGGGTCGAAAGTCAACATGCGTGCGCTCTAACCCCTCAGCCCTCACGACACTTTCACATCACCTCCCCTTGACCAATGCCGATGCTTGATGATGCAGCTGCTTAGCTTTCGTGCCTTATCGCCTTATCTGAAGGATAGACCGAGCCGGGCCCTCGGGTTAATATGATTCTCTTTTCGCTCTAGTCTTGGGATTGAGATGGATCGACCCGCGCGACGGGTCAAATTGGGAACCACTAATCCGTTTGAGGCGACGCCACGCCATGCTAAGCCGCTCGGTGATACGTACTTAATTAAAACTTGGACTTTGCACCGGCCATTGTGCCATGTTTCGGGTTCCTTCGGTTCGCGTGGATACTTACCCCATGACAAAATGTTGGCGGACCGGTGAAGCTCATTGCGCCTCAATGCATCAGAACTCTAACGCTCTAAAGAAATAAGTATAGAATTTTTTGCTAGATTAAGTAAAAAATGAGTGGCTTGGAAGACAGGTGGGCTAAAAGCTGTTTCTGCAAAATAAAGATACGAATGATTTCAATCAAAACTAGTCGTCAAAATTATTTGGTCGTTTCTGGCCTCATTCTTGCTCAATTTTTGGCGTAAACATGGATCTGAATCGATGTTACCGAATGATGCGGATTTTTTGGCATTCAACCGCTTGCCCGAAAAACCCGAATTTTTCGACAAAATCGACCTTCAGTCTCGGACGAAGGCTAGGATCAGACCCGAAAAGAGACCAAAAATGACCAAATCATCGTGCATTCGGTAAAAGATAGATTTTAATAGAGCGAAAAGTCGTTGAGTTGCGGAAAGTCTACCAAAGTGGACCCAAAAATTGTCCTCCGAGGTTAAACATTTTCTCCGGAAGGCAAAATCGTCCCTTCAATTTCTCCTCGAAGGACGAGTTATTTCCACGATATCGTCCATTCGATTTTCGTCTTCGGTGGACGATTTTGGTCCTCGGAAGGCGCTTCCTGTCACCGGAGAGCAATTTTTGTCCTCGGAGGTTAATTTATTCTGATGGAATTGTCCATTCAATTTTCATCATGGGAGGACGATTTTTGTCATCGGGCAGCGATTTTTTTCCTGGGAGGACGATTATTTTAACAATTGGCCATTCAATTTTCGTCTGCAGAGGACAATTCCTGTCATCGGAGGACAATTTTTGTCCTCAGAGGTTAATTTATTCTGATGGAATTGTCCATTCCATTTTCATCTTGGGAGGAGGATTTTTGTCATCGGGCAGCGATTTTTTTCCTGGGAGGACGATTATTTTAACAACTGGCCATTCAATTTTCGTCTGCAGAGGACAATTTCTGTCATCGGAGGACAATTTTTTCCGTCGAAGGACAATTTATTCCATTAGGGCCTGTCTTCGGGAACAACTGAGCGAAGCGGTGCGGCTTGAGGTCCGCGCCGCATCGCCTTGGCGGCTCGGGGGGCTTCGGGGCGCCCGGGACCGGGACCCGGGACGTCTCGGGAACGGGAACTGGGCACCCAGCGTCTCGCGTCTCGGGTGAAATTTTTGCGGCGCACTGGTGGAAGCTGCGATGAGGCGACCCACTCCCTATCCAGACACGTTTCGGTCCTCGTCTCTGCTTACTACTCCGTTGATTACTTCGTTCTTTCGCCAGTTCGTCTCCCGGTTCCTCGCTCCTCCCCAACGGCTCCCGGTTTCTTCGCCCATGCACGGCACAAATTTCCCGCAGCCTCCAGCCCACGATACTCCACCATTCGGGAACTTCTGGATCGGGTGCACGCCTCCTTCGAAATTTTGGACAGTGAGCGCGGTTGTGGGAACTTTGAAGTTTTAAAAGCTCTCACTTCAACGCTGAAGTTTCGGTCGTTTTTAGTGTTTTAGTTTTTAGTGCTTTGGACTGTTTGCATCAACGTGCGGTTTCAACGGTCGGTATCGGTAGTACTATAAAATTAAAACGGAAAACTTCTCTGGACACGCTCGAAATCGTTTTCGTTAGTGCGCGCGGTTTTAAAAGTTTAAAAGTTACGTATTAACGGCTCTGATACCTACGATAGCCTCGTCAAACACGATATTTTGGTGAATTTATGTGGTTCTTCCATATTTTAGTGGATTTTTACGGTTAAAAGAGTTAAAATATATACTTACAAACTAATCCAATTTTTTTGGCAAGAGTTCGCGTCAATGTGCCCGATTTGAATATTTTGTAGTTACAAAAACCCTCTAAGCGCAAGGAAAGCAGTGCTGAACGATAATTTTGAATGTAAACAATGTTTTAATGATTTGAATTAGTTTGAATACAAGTGCGCGCTTCATAAATGAACACGCTTTTTTGGGTTAGGAATACTAAAAATGAGACCTTTCAGCTCAGTCATGCTCAAATTGGTTTAGGATCGGGACATTTAATCGCGTATAATTCCTGGTATAAAAAACTACAAAAAACTGTTACAGTGACCTGTTTTTCCAGTATCGTATCGCGGGAGTAGCTTATCCTTGTTCCGGAATGTACTTGTGTGGTTTTATCATTTTGGTCGAAAAATTAACGTGCATGTGTCGGTAGTGTGGGGCAACACTCGTGTTAGCCGGTAAAATTCTCCTTTTTACGCCCAAATGCAACACCAATACACACAATGCGGTTAGTCTCGCGCTTTTGCTCATCGTGCAATTTCAAATATATGCACAGAGGTTTTGTTAGCTACCTCTCCTATTTTATGTAAATTTCACGCTCTGAAAGTTCGTACTGTGTTTTAATGACCTACATTGTGTGAGTGAATTTTTCGCCTCTCAAACAATGTGAAACAATCATACTCTATATTCGCGACATCAGTGGCCATATTCGTTTTTGCGAAAGAATTGTTGGAACAGTACCTGCACGAGAATCATTCTAAGTCATGAAAATCCTCACAAATATGAAATTAAAACGTAAGTTTTTATGCGCCTATGCGGTTAAATTTACCCTTTTAACATAGTTATTTTCAATTTAATTTAAAAGAACGATCTATAAATCACCAGAAATGTGAAAAAAAATCTTTGGTTCGCATGAAACACAAAGTTTTTAGTCCAGGCGGTAACCAAAGTTTTAAATTCGCAGGTTAATGAAGTGGTCTATCTAAGTAATCGAAGTTTTTGGTCCTAGAAACTTCGGATCAAGTAGCCACATTTTTGGTTAGCTATACATGTAAAGACACCTATTTTGCACCAAAAACTTTGGTCATTCTAACCAAATTTTAAGTTCCGTGATCGAAAACGTAAGATGCTAGGGTAGAGTCTCTCGGAATGCCATACAAACCAGAATTCGGTCCATATTATGGTGGTTTTTTTCTCGGTGTAGGTGGGCACATGTAGAAAAGAGGGAACGCAGGGACGCAGGGGGTCCTGACGGTCGGTAGGTATATGAAGGCGAGAGGGATTCAAGCCTGTGAAACAGTAAGACTGATAGAACATCCGTAGTTTAAACTTTTAAGCATTGAAACTTTAAGATGAAACGAAAATACAGAAAACTGTAAAATATACTAAAAATGTTCTCGAATGAACATTTCTAGCAATGTAATATTTTGCTGGAAAGAAGGAGGTGCTACCAGTTTTAACTAAAATCAACTCCCAACAAAAAAGATAGGAAGAAGATCCTGTTAGAATTTACCCTAATTGGTCTATGAAAGAGTCTATACCTCTATCAATAAAACCATGTGTACAGAGAGACACAAGATATATACTTCAACAGGGTTGCCACCATACCACTCCGTGTACAGAGGCTTGGAGAACAAGGCGCTTAAGTGCAGTTTTTGGAAAATTTGAGATATTAACGATTTTAAGTAAAACTTAATGCGTAGCGAGGAGACCCGTAAGTGGGAACTGGGATGAGCCTTGAAACACATACACTGAAAAAAAATTCTCGGCGTTTTTACCAAGGTCCGTTGGTACCTTTACCATCTCACTTTTTTTACCAATTATTGGTAATTTTATCAAGACAGACTGGCACGCTTACCTAAAAACCGGTATTTTTACCGTTTTTTTCAGGTTAGAATACCACTTTTATTGGTTATCAATTCCCGGTAACTTTGCCATTTCATCTCGGTAATTCTACCACAGTCGATAAAAAATATTGGCGTTTTTACCAAGGTCCGGTAAAATTACCGAGAAAGTTCAATAATTTTACCGAGATTTCACGGTGAAATTATCAATTCTATAAATGGTAATTTTACCAAGAAAAAACTGGGATCAAATAGATCCCTGAATTCTTGGTAATTTTAGCCTTTTCTTAGTAAATACACCGAGATTTTTTTTTCAGTGCACTTATTAGGGCTCTCTGCGTCATCACGGCAGATGTGGTGTCTGCGCAATTGATGGCGCCTCTCAGCCGCACTCTTCCTCGTCACACGTCAAACGGGAGCCGGAAAAGCTCATCTTTTGCATTTTCTTCCGGTTGAAATATTTCTAGTTGAATTCCTCGTGCATATTTTCACCGCTCTCTCCGCAACTGGAATCTTAAGCATGCCGCAGCACTGTTTTAATTTCAAACGATCCTAGATTCTTATTCCTTCAATATGCTCGATTTCTCGTTCATATAGCTCTTCTTGATACCTTTTTGAATGCACTGAGAAACCAAATCTTGGAGGTCGCTCGTTTGCATTTCCTGGCGTCAAATCGCAATTTCCGCAATAAGTATTTCGAGGATCAAATGGCAGTTTGAAAAAAAGAACCAAAAGGGCATTTGGACCGTGTAGAGTAGAAGAAACCAAGTTGCCAAATCGAATTGGGCATGCACTTTAATTTTTTACATGAAAACGGTTGTGCGGATATTTGTGCAAATTTCAGTGAATTTTCTAAGTAGTACAAAGCAAGTTCCTTGAAATTTTCAAAAGAATCCGCACAAACGTTCTCTTGTAAAAAATTTAATTATCCAGCTAAATTTGGCAATAGCTGATGTGGCTTGGTGTCTTTCTTCTGAAAGCGATCCATTTAAGAGAGACGTATTACGTTGTTGAAAAAAAGGGTGGATGATTATGGACAAAGTCAACCCAAATAAGTGCCGTGCACCAACTAATGTGACTATGCAACAAACTCCAACTTATCGGATTTTTAAACAATTTGAACAAACAGTGAAAGCTTCACGTAAAATGGTTAAAATTACTTTTTTTAAAACTCACCACTTTCACCTAATGTAATTCATGTAATAAAATATATGTAGACATAAATAGACATAAAATATATTAAGTGGAAGTGGTGAGTTTTAAAAGAAGTAATTTAAATCATTTTTTTTTCGGATTTTACCTCTAACAATCAGGGGCTGCTCCAGTAAATGAGAGTACATCTGCAAAAAGTTTGCTAAAGTTTCAAATAAGTCGGCACTGTGCGCACCAGTGCGTTGTTATAGCTGTGTCAAAATCATCCAACATTTTTCTTCTTTTTTCTAACAGTCCATTGAATAACAATTCTATTTACCTAAAAAGTCATCAAACGGTATACGGAAGTATTTGCGTTCCCATTTATATATGTTTTTTTAAAAACAAGAAGGCAGAACATGAATTTTACGCACCGTGCTATTTCGCCTTCAATTGTCATGGTAGGCAAAAAAACATCCTTGGTGCAACATTAGTTACCGATTCCAGGTGTTGTTCATTATGAATTGTAATTATGTTATCTTTGAACCGTGCTTCGCTGTGAATTATTTTTGACTAGCAAAGTTTGACGTCATATTTTAAAAAAAATAACAAGAGAATCATTATCTTTTAACGATAATTAATTCAAAAGACCAATCAACAGAGCGTCAAAGTTCTTCCGTCTGAAGAACTGAAGTCTGACTCTTTAGGGATGTACAAATCTCTCCCAAAAGACCTCAGATTTTAATACTTCTTCAATGACAAAGAGAAACAAAAGAAAGATAAAAATAATTATAAGGTACATGTATGACAAAACTAGAGGGATCTAGTATGCTCGGTAAGTCCCACTGATGACTAATTCATAGTACCCGGGTGGTTATTATCATGGTTACAACGTTTGAATGGGCGTTTTTTATAAGCAGAGCCCGCTCGACAAATCATCTTCATGGTGCATTTATGAGAACAATATGAAGTGTGGGTATACGCGACCCACTTCTGCCTCAAATAAACCCGCGACCCAAAACATGGAACCTGGACGGCTGAAAGGGTGAAGTCCGCAGTATTCCCTGCTATTCCCACGTGAAAATCACCGTCCGCCTTGCAAACTCGCGCCGACGATCCGTCATACAGCAACGTTGTCAAAATGGCTGGAAAATATTACATTTTCCCCAAGTTCCGCCCTCTTATTGACTGATTTATTGACTGAGTCATTTGAGGGGCTCGGAGGTTGAGGCGCATAAATGCAGTTTCTGCTATTACAGGAAATACGTGTTGAAAGTATCAAGATTACGTCATGGAGCTTTACGGCGTAAATGGGAGGTTTAAACTCACTTTTTGATGCGCCTAAATTTGGATTTAAATCGTGGATTTGTCACAGAACATACTTACTTTCAAACTAGTTTTAGCTCAGTTCATGAATATCTCAATTTTTTCAAAACCGCAATTACGCGTCTTGTCCCTCAAGCCCCTCATTTGATATGAAATCGAACTCAGTGGCACATTCTGTGCAAGTTAAAAGTGTTATTTCATTACAATTCAGTCTTTGATAGGTCATATATAAATTAAGAGCTCATTAAACACAAGAAATTTCGATTGTAAGAAACACGTAGACGCATTTTTCCATCATGGTTCAAAGGGCGCGAATCAGAGACAAGATTATATGTTTGTTTACAATTCAACCATTACGTAGCCACTAAACTAGTTAATATGATGTGGATGGAATCATCTTTCATTGATTTACGATTCCGAGTATAACCTGAAAAATGATCAGTCACTTTGACTGACGATACTAACAATGATTACTTCACTCACATATCGATGGCTAAAGTGCGAGACCACGTATCTCCATTTGCGACGTTACAGAGTTCTTTTTCATCAACAAACTATACCATAGAAATTTCAAACTGTCAAGTCCCTTTGAAAAAATAAAAAAATAGGGGCAGAGATTTTGAAACACCGCAATGGAGATACGTGGTTTCGCACTTTAGACATCTAAAGACTTCTTTAGGTTCGGAAACAGGAAGGACGGAAATAAAAAGTTCGTTTGTCGACAAAACAATTTTTCTTGAAATTTAAAAACTATATATTGCGTTGAATTGAAGCCGTGGAAACTATTTTTAAACAATATCTTTTTTGACCGGATGCATATCTTTCTCTTGATTCCTGAAAAGAGAGAAAAATAGAGTTTATTGTCGATTTTTCCCGTTTAAATTTGGACGTATCTATACTTAAAAGGAGCTATGAGCAGGGTTTGTGGACCCCATAGTTCCTTTCAACATAAGTATGTCGATTTGTTCAGCATTTAAATTTAAATCATCCGTAGTTAACATAAGAATTTCAATCAAAAAACACGTGGCAGTACAGTGTGAAAATAAACCAATTCTTGTATAGTCCAATGAGATGAGTCGAACAGGCATGAAATAAGTGTGGGCCAGTGTGTCGACCATTTGAGCCCCGGGAAAAGACAGTTGGCACAAAGAACATGACTTTTGAGGTTCAATGCATATCTTGGGAATTCGTCAAGAAAAAAATTATTTACAAACACAATATTTGACGGGTTTAACTACCGAATTCTGGGATCGCCAGGCCCCTATTTTAGCAAACAAGTTGGCAACAAAACAACCAGACATCAACGTTAATGTTCCGCCATCTCACCGCTTTGCATATTGTTTTGTTTGCTGTCGAGCTTACGAAAAACAAAAAGCACACCCATGGGATCCAGGATTCACTGTCTACCATCATTTCGCCAAAGTAAAGTCAACCTCAGTCTCTTTTACCTACTACAGGGAAGCTACAAAAATTTCCTGGTTTTTATTTAGGACT